GTGGGAATGCAGACTGGTGAAACCACTGTGGAAATCAGTTTGGAGATTCCTCAGAAAACTAGGTCTAGAGGTCCCATTCAACCCAGCCATCCCCCTGCTGGGTATTTTCCCAGAAGATCTAAAAACATCATATCACAGTGATGTATAGCAGCACAGTTTGTAATAGTTCAACCTTGGAAACAGCCCAAATGCCCATTAACTGATGAATGGATAAAGTGAGTTTTTTTCTGCAACAGAATACTACTCAACTATAAAGAAGGATAAGCTTGAGACATTTCTAGGTAAATGGATGGACGTTGAGACAATACTCTTAAGCTAAATAAATCTGATGCACATGGGTAAATATCACATGGTTTCTCTGGTGTAAGAATCAGAAGTGTAAAGAAGAACCAAAATGTATAACAGATACTGTGAAATGGGAAGACAATGTCCAAATGGTAAGGGGAACCAGGGAAGGGAGAGGGAGAAAGGAAGGAAGGGGAAAGGGAGAAAAAGAGACAAGAAGGAAAAAATGGAAGCAAATCTTTTGTAAATAAGAAAGGGAAGAAAGATTGAAAAGAGGGGAGGAAAATGGAATAAAAGAATCACGATCTATCATGTACAGATACACATTCCCTATGATAAATGTTATTATTATGCATAGCTAAAATAATTAATAAAATTAATTTTTTAAGATAAGGTCTTTTCTGTCATCCATGCTCGTCTTGAACTCACTATGTAGCCTAGGATGGCCTCAAATTCACAGCAATCCTCCTGCCTCAGCCTCCTGAGTGCTGGGATTACAGGCATGTGGCACTTCTGGATATAAAATTATTTTAAATGGTCTTTGTTTTGTTTCTATGATTCTGTTTTGGAAGGGTACCCAAACAGTATTGGATATTCAGGCCATCTCCTGAGAGCCAGTTTGTAGAGGTCATTTCTAGAACTTCTAGTGCTGAATTAGACAACAGGAGGACCCTGAGAAAAGGCTCTTTGTTTTATTGACATGATTTTATTTTGGAAAGGTATTTGGACAACACTGGCTATTCCAGAGAAAGGGAAATACATTATAACTGTTTTTATGCCTGTTATTGTTCTGTACCAAACTTACAAGTACATTGTCTGTGGTATAAGTCACACACTGATGACGTGAACTTGTCCCAAATGAGATGGTTCATAGCACTTACCTAATCTCGGCTATGTGCAGAATTTCTTCACCTCACATATAAATGTTTGGTTGTCTGGGGTGCAATAGAGGCTCGCAAGAGCTCAGTACGACCCTCATTCAAAATTACAGTTAAAAACCACAAGCTTACAGATAAGTATTGGTATGTAAAGAAATGTTGTTGTTTTTTTGTTTGTTTGTTTGGTTGGTTTTTTTGTGGTGCTGGGAGTTGAATCCAGGATCTTCTCACTAAGTTATATCCTCATATATTTTTTTGAGACATGGTCTTTCTAATTTTCCCAGGCTGGGCTTGAACTTGAGTTTCTCATGTCTCAGCTTCCCAGAGTTCTGGGAAGAAGCTGATTTCCTAACAACCCTTTCCTTGGTGAACTTTCCTCTAGCAAGAGGGTCCTGGTAGATGTTGGCCTTATGCCTTCATTTTCATTGCTTTGAAGACAGTGATGATGAATGCAGGACTGATGGGGTGAAAGGTGCCAAGAGCGATCGGTGCCCTCCCTGCCATCCACCATCACAACTACTTATCACATTTTCCAGCTGTTTTAAGGAATAATAGTGAAAAGACACTAAGAGTTGTGAAGAAGAGGAAGAAACTGCTACTGTAACTGGAAAGACAGATTTCTTCATCACAGTGATTCTCCAGCCTTTTTCCCAGGTGATATGTGTTGAAATGTAGCCACATCCACTGGAAAGTGAGGGAAGGAGTTGTGAGTTGTGACAACGTCCAGGAGGGAGGATGTATTTGTAGTTTTGCAAAGCCTGACATCTAAGCTGAAACAAAAGTGTGAGAACACACACAGATAACATCAGGCAATTGAAAAGTACTTTGGAGAGTGTCCTGGGATATACCCTGTCTAGGTCTCTCTCTTCAGGGCCCTATTGTGCTGTATGGATGGAACAAGACAGGTGGAACACCAGCCATGGCAGCACTGGGAAGACGTCCTGAAGGAGTTTGAGTTCTTGGTGCGAAGTGGTATCACAAGAAGGAAAGTCCCAAACCTTGAAATTCACACAAGCACACAAGAGCCACTGCACTGGATTGAATCACTTTATTATTTCTGTTAAACTAGAGAATCATACAAATACATCTGTAGAGCACAGTTCAGGCAACCATTCCCTGCTCCTCTAGGTGCTGGTCATCATTTCACTGGAGGCTTTCATAGTCAGGACACTGTTCAGTTCAAACATACTGAACTATGAGACCTGCTTGAAACTGCCTATAAGTACCCTGTCTGTGAACCCAGCCCACGTTACCTTTGAATAGGATTGAAGCAGAAAGGGAGAGAGGAGAGTGATAAAAATGAGCAGAATCAAATTACCATGCTCAATTTTGATTGGTAAGGGTAAGAAGCTTGGAGAAGGTGATTTCCTTCTTCTCTAATTGTTTAGAGAAAACTTATATTTGAATAGTGGAAGAAAGATACCTTCCCAGTGGATTGTACTTTTCTGCTAGGTTTGTGGTACCATATTACTTATAGTATGAGGAATAAATTCTCGTGTTGCATTGTTCCATCGACAGGTGATAAGAACATAACCATGCATGTAAGAAGATTCATAGTCACAGTTTGGCATATCAGTTCCTTCTATTAACTGACAAAACACCCCTTCTATTGCTTCCTTACTCTTCTTACATCCATCAGTTCCATCCTCACATGGCACTACAGTATTGTAGCAGGTCTTTTGCAACATCTCATATGTCGTTTTAAGGAAGTAATGATATTGCACACACCGCATCTTATACTGAACATTTCTAAGTCTAATTCCCTGTGAACAGTATTCAGGATCATCCAAAGGTCTCCAGTCTTCCTCAGCAAGGACTATTTTTTCAATTTTTCTTTTGGAAGGTGGTCTTGTAGGCCCTGTACCATAAAGTTCATATATATAATTTTCAAACTCTTGATGTGTAAAATTTGGTAGAAGGTAGAAATTCGAGAAAGTCCCTTGAAGCTGCATTGGTGGTAGCAGAAGCAGGAACAGCAGAGGCGCTGGGAGCTTGGTGAATAGAATTCTCATCCTCTCTCTGTGACAACAAAAGAGACACAGAGAAATGTTCTGTTGTAGTAATATGAGTCTCTGTTTCCTGTGCAAGGCCCATTTCTACCACCCATTCCTGTCCTATACTCTTAAGACTTTGGACTATTTGCACATCATTACAACTGGTAGTTTAGAATCTAAATATTTCTCACATACTGACAATAGAATAACCTTATCAGGTATATTAGTCCTGAAAACAGTGGATAAAGGAAGGGAAGGTGGAAGAAGAAGGCAAGAGAGAAAGGATACTTGGAGGGAACGAGGGGTTTGAGGGAACACAAGGGAAATGAAAGGAGGGAAGGGGCAAGGAGAGAAGAAAGAGAAGAAGAATGATAAAAAAAAGGAGTGGGGCAGAAGGGTAGGAAAAAGGAGACTGAGAACGTAGTGGGAGAGACAAAGGAAACTCATGTACACTTTCCATTTGGAATATATACATCTTATCCCACTTCAGCAGTTAATGATTTGCAGAGCGAAGAACCATAAGTGACCCATCCTCCCCTTCTGGACCATAAGTGACCCATCCTCCCCTTCTGCTGTGATGAGGGAAATTCTTCAGTTGATAAGTTATTTTCTCATCTTGCTAACATCTGGTCACAGAGGTCCATAAAAGCCAAGTGAATACTGTGCTGAGTTTTTTCCATGCCTGCTTTTACCCCTCTTTCATTGCCGGGAACTGATGTATCTATTTTGCAGCCCCTACCTCTGACACCAAAGTGAGTTATTCACCTTCTGAGTTTTCTTTGTTTTTCTTCAATAGATTCATGGTGTTTGTTATAATTGGGTTTATGCATCCCTAAGCTGGGCTGGGGATATAGCTCAGCAGAACAAGCATCTAGCAATTGCACAAGCCTAGCAATTGCAAGGTCCTGAGTTTGATTCCCAGTACCAAAAAAATTAAATAAATAAATAAAATAAATCCCTAAGCGTTCTTCATCCTATGTGGCTATCTGCAGTTATGATTACATCATCATGAGAGATTTCACACTCATGATATTACTTTTTCCCTCACTGCGTCTCCATGTATGTTTAGTCCTTGGGCAGGATAATGAATCTTTCCTCAGGATAGTATTTTACATGTTTTTGAGCAAGTGTCTTTGTTATACAAGTCTGCAATGCTAAGCAGATGATACACATTTGAAAATAAACAGAAAAAGAAGATATTTAGTAGTTTGGTATCTACTAATGATGTATATTATTACACTATCTTGTAATGATGATCAATGATTTTTAAATAACTTTTCTCACAGGACCTGAGTAGTAGTAATGTATACCCAAGGAATTCTTTCCAATTGCTTAAACAAGCATCAGGGCAGAGCCTATGCTTTAGTAAAAAGTGTCATCCTTTGTAGACGACGTCTGGGTCTATTCTATTCCTTTTCTAAATCTCACTGTTTCTCATGAATTCTCTAAGGAGTCCTTCCTCTCAGAGACACAAGAGTGCCAGCAGGGTCTGTGTTTGCCTGTGACCTCCTTACCTCATTCAGCGTATAGTGTACTCTTCAGAGAACAAATGTTTCAAGGGATGAGTTTAGGAAATCCTGATATTGGAGCTCTCAACCTGAAACAAGGGGAGTCAGGAAAGAAGAAAGAGTTCTGGCAGCTCATAAATATACTGTTGAAGTCAACTGAAAACTTAGCTGATGATAATATAGATAACACAGTGAGCAGTTACCTGGAATACCCTCTGCTAAGAATGTTTTTTATATATATATATATATATAAACTATATATATATATTTTTTTTTTACCATCTGAACTACTGGAGAATAAAAACATTAATTCTTATTGTTGTTAGCATTTCCTTCAATCTGAGTAATTTTAACAGTTTAACCCAGAAATTCTGGTCTACCTGTGATGGAGCTAGAGGTGGTAAATTTTAGCTTTGGATTCCAATACTGTAGATAGGAAAGTCTAAAAAATTGTAGAGATAAAGAAAGGTGGGTGTTGATGCAGGGTGGAGACCATGGAAAGTTGAGTACGAGAGTGCAGAGAACGGGACAGAAAATAAGAACTAGTCTAAAGGAGACATAGCTCGGACACACGTGCCCATAACGCATCCCTCTATCCCTGCTTTCACACTCTCATCAGTGTCTTTCAGGGCATCTCCTCAGGACAGTGGCCCCACTGTGACAGCCAGAGGGCTCAACACAAGTCCCCACAATGTGGACATGGAGCCTCTGCAGCATCTTAACCTGGACAGGACAAGGTCAGGACATGCATGACCAGCAGAGTGTGAGGCCCTCTGGCTCTGCCCTTTGCACCTATTAAGGATACACCCAGGATTTTTTTTTTATAAACAGTATTTATAGTACCTTATCTGGAATCTCTACAATCCATGCAAAACTCATTCCTGGTGAAAGTATGATAAGCTGAGCAACCAGGCAACACTGACCACAAAAAACTTGTTATAATGCTTTTGAAAAAAAGGAGGCAGATAATTAAAGTTTAAAAACCAGATGCTTCTTTCAGAATCTTTTAATATCTGTAGTTCTAGAATTAAGACATGATAAGAGGGACTTGAGTAATTTATATAGAAAAATGGCAAATATATCACCCAAGAAAGAAAATTTTGGAAATGTAGATGCACAATAATATGTAAAGATTAAATTGAGTTTGATATGTTCGTAACAGTAATAATAATATATCAATAATAATAACCATGATAAGAGTTAATATTTATTCACTATGTGTTCATGGACTTATATTTACTTTGAATGGATTACTTACCTGAATTTATAAGGATATTAATCAATGGAATTTTAGAGGGAGTATTTTGTGATATAGAGGTAGGACTATCTGTTTAATAAAGAACATATTACCTTAACTCAAACACATTACCTTAAACACAAAAAGAGGAATTAATTGACTCACAGCAGACAGAAGTCCAAGAAAGACAGCAGGAAAAAGGAATCCAATTCTTCGCCTCACTCTCTCCCACACCACTCCATGTGCATAAGCTTTGCTGTCATGTAAGGACACGCTATGTAATGGCAGAGCCAATCATTGGCACATTTGTAGCCTTATATTAAGGGTCATGGTGGGAAGTGTCATCCTCTCCCATCTTCATCTACCATGGAAAACAACTCTTCTGATTGGCCTTGCTCCTGTCTCATGATAAATCCCAGGACTGTGGGGCCGTTTGATTGGTCAATCTGAAACACATGTTTTTATGGCAAAAACTACATAGCTAAAACCCCAGCAGAATCTCAGCTGGTGCCAGAATGGTTGTTTTCCACTACATAAAAAGGAATTGACAGTCTTTGTATATTATCAGTGACTAGGAAAAAATCAAAGTGCTAAAGTCTAACTCATAATCCCAGTTAACAAAAATATAGGTTATATAGGAGGGAAAAGGAAAAATAAAATCTTAAGGCTTTATTTCTTTTGACTAATTTCTTATATCTAAAGTAGTCAATTTTACAAATTCAGTAGGAACAATAACATATAACTAAACAAATAAGCTCAAGATCTGGATTGGGCATGTTCTCAAATATTAAGTGCCAATTTCCTAAAACCTCACAGTTTGATATAGTGACCTCCCACTTTTCATCAGCGTCAGGAAAAGTCAATTTCTTAGTTTGAGTGGTTGAACCAGGTGTACTGTAAGTCTCAGTTCTTAGAACTAAGCCAACCTTTTTTAGTAAATCTTAGGGTCTGCGTTGTTAAATTTAGTAAGCAAAGTCTAGGCGTTAGCCATCTTTAAATTTATAATTTGAAAAATATTTTGAGGTAATATTTTGGTCAGAACTTCATACCCATAATCCAAGTAAGAATTGTGTCAGGCTGAGAAAATCTGGTAGAAAATGTTATCATTGCAGTTAATAAGGGTGTTGGTAGGTTTAGCGATACTATCACCTCATTGAAGTGAAGGCATTTCCTCCCCTAAGGCCACTGTAACACTTGCATGTCAGAGTTCACAGTAGCACACAGAACAGACATACACAGAACAAGTTCCTCAAAAATTAAAAATCAACCTTTCAGCATTAAAAATAGAGTCATTTTTTTTGTGTCTTACTTTAAAATCATGGAATGAAGCCAACTTTAGGATCACAGAAATCTCTTCACAGCTTAAGATTCCTGCAAATTTATTTTTATTCCTATACTGTTTTACCTTTTAAATTGTATAATTCTACAACATTTTAAAAGGTTTTGTTAGGTAGCTATCTGCTAGATTTTTTCCTGTGAGCCAGTGTGGAATTAGAAGACATAGACTAATTCAGCTCTTAGTTCTGTTTCATTTCATATTTCAGTCCCTCTCTGAAATCAGAGATGAAATAATGATTCAGTATGGAATCTTTAAGGTTAGCAGTTCTGATAAATTTTGCTTGGGAAAAGGACAATAAATATAGTCAGATAATGGACTCCATATCAAGAAAGAATAATATAGATCCCTATATCCATACACACACAACACGCATACATTTAGGGACTTCTCATTTTATTTGGCTTAGACATGAAGATAGTTAAAAGAACACTGTATTAAAAATAAAATCTTTTTCATAATTTTGGAGTAAGAAGCATCTTTAATAAATAAGACAGAAGAATTTAGGCACAAAAGAAATTATTGGAACACTAGACTACACAAAGATCAAATTATATACCTCTCTGCATAAGAACATGCAACACCACACCACAAATAAATGACAAAAACAACAAAAATAATGGGAAGAGCCAAGTGTGGTAGTGCACGCCTGTAATCCCAGCACTTGGGAGGCTGAGGCAGGAGGATTGCTATGAGTTCAATGCCAGCCTGAACTGCATAGTGAAACCCTGTCTCAAAAAAGACCAAAATAATGGCAAAAACAGAAAAAATAAAAAAGACCAATATCTGCCTATAAAAACAAATGGGTGAGGGGGCTGGGAATTTAGCTCAGTGGCGCAGCACCTGCCTGCAAAGCACAAGGTCCTGAGTTTGATTCCCAGTACCAAAAAAAAAAAACAAAAAACAAACCCCCGCCCCAAAAACCATTCTGGTTCAA